TTTTTTTTTTTTTTTTTTATTGCATACACGTGCTCATTGTTCAACATGTTTCTTTTCGAAATTACGGGTATTAAGAGGACCTAGTGAGGGACAGCTCCAAAGATAGCTGCCTTCACTGTCTTTTCAAGACATTATTCTTATCGTTTCATCCTTTACCATTGCATATCGTCTGATTTACTGACGGGTTAATAATTATAGTCATTCAGTACAAAATCCATGAAATTGTTGTCCTATTGTTATATTGTTTACTATGGTTTTCAAAGGCATAACTACCGTATTAAATGAGATTTAGGCAATAAATTCTCGAATTTTAAGTCCACAATGGGTCGAACGCTTTACCTCATCCACATTGCCTTTACTAACTGGAAGGATGGCCAAGTGAGTTAGTTAACAAGAAATTAATTATTAGAAAAAGGTTCAAAGAGCAGGTGCTAGAAGCTAATCATTTATTGGTTCCCGGTAATAGTGTACAAAAACCAAGTAAATGAATCTAGTATGTGTAATTTGTAAGTTAAAATAACAAGATTTCAGCCCAATATGAAAACGATTAGCAAATAAACTAAGAAGGTATTTGGTCATTTTTTGCTTCTCTGCACAAGATTATTGTTTCAAATATGCATCAAGGCAGAAGACAAAAGGAAGAACCGGCAACAATAATGAGAAGGCGATAACAAAGAATGGTGAAAATAGGTAACAAGAACCAGAATTTACAATATTTTAATTTACAACCGTCTTTAAACTCTTGGCTTCGGCGGGACACCCTCGAAAAAATGGATTTCGATGTCTCTTACTCAAGTCCTGCCTTCTGCTCAAAGTTCTGTTGTTCCCGCTCCTCAAAATACTTTTTTTTTAGTTCAGCCCAAGGATCTGTTGTCATTGCGGGTATAACGTAGTCATGCACGTTAAAAGCAACATCATTTACTGGTCCTGCACTGTATCCACCTGGCCTTCTTTTGAAACTACCACCTCTTGCGGAGTTGGGAAAATGGTCTCTCCCATAATTCCTTGAGCCAGAATTCCACTGCTGATTTCCCTAACAGGAAAAGTTGCTATTAGTTCACTGAGAAGAAACTAATTGTGGTAGATATAAAATTTAGACATTTCGAAACTAATTTTAAAAGTAAGCCTTGGGAAAGACGTATACCCAACACAACGCTGCTAAAAATTAATGGAGATGTTAGTCCCAACAGTAAAACCCACAGATCTTTGACTAGAATTGCTTCCATTAAAGTATCCCTGCCTCGGATTCTTGTTGTAGTAAGGTGCGGAAAAGCGGGAATTACTGTTTGGTGGAGAAAATGATGTTGCGGAACCACGATGTTGTCGGTTATTAGGATACATGTACCTTTCACGGTTAGAATTTGGCGAAGAACCTTCTGATGAAAATTTGTACTCTGAAGACTGAGGGACGTAGGGACTTCCAAAAGGACTGTCAAACGTTTGTCGAACATTATGCCCTCTCTGGTCCCCTTGAAATCCTGAAATTACCCTGTACTAACTTACTTCCAATGCTTTACACATCCTCACATATCTCAGCTACATTAAGCATGGTCTAAAATATGGATGCAGTCAAAATGATAGATCAGACCTCTTGGATTCCTCCTCTCCTTAGGAATCATATCGGCAGAAAAAGCGTCGTTGAACATTTTTGAAACTTAAGCAGTGTAAAAACTGTAAACGTTCAAAAATCTTTCTTCAGTGCGTTTTGACAGTTAAAGAAAAACGAGGTATTTCTCCTAAAAAAGATGCTACATAAACTGGATGAAGTCCTGTACATTCCGAATGTCAACTTAATGCGAATGGTTCAACTTTAAATAATAGTTTTGCATCTGCTTTTACTCGTTATATGATTTTTAAACAAACATTCCCCTAAAGCTAATTAGAGATATTAAAAGTGCAAGAAGTTTTCGTGTGGAACACACGTACTGGTATCTGTGATATTACAGTTTTACTGTTCTTCCATATTGTTTTAAAAAAATCTTATCCATTCCCAAGCTATCAAGAAAAGGCTTCCGTTCGCCTCTTTCCCAAAAATCAATAGGAATTCCCATACTTTTTTAGGATCAAATCTAAATCTGATTCCTATATCCTACCAAGTACGGCTGCGAATAAGTGAATAGATTTTGAGACGTGAACCAAGGGACAAAAAATATCAGCAAAATTGAAACTCCCCAAGTAAAAGGTAGTACCATCCAAGAAACAACATTGGATTATATAAATAATGGCAGTTTTTTGAAATTGCATGCCAATTTTAGCAGAAGAATGAGTAAGGCAGTGCCGAGAAGTAGCAATTACTGCGGTAAAAAAAGTGAGAAGCGTCCAAAGTGCGAGCTAAAGAAAATGTGCTCTGACGCGCGTAATGTGCGTCTTTGGGCCTTACATGGCTCTGGTGAGCTGCCAACAGAAAAGTTCGTCTTTGCGCCAAAATTTTTTTTTTGAAACTTAGCTTTTGGATGGAAAGTGTTGCTGTGTTGTTTAAAATGTTGTTTGATCGGCAAATGCCTTCCCAGCGTCTATGATGGATTGTTGCTGCAGGGTTTTGATCGGTCGGAGGACGCCTATTTTTATGTAAGCTTATCATATTTGCTAAGAAAAGTGGTTGTTTTTTTTATTTTCGCTAAATTTGTTTTTTATATCTTATAATAACACGAAAATCTCTCTTTGGTATTTTGATAGGTTTAATTTTTCTTATTTTTTTTGACTGGTGCTAACGTACGGTAGCCAGTTACAGACAAATTTGAAGCTCTGTTTACTGTCGTTTAGTTAATTCTATTTTTGAAAAATTGTGGTTCAGAGCGGGAAAATATAGATGTTTAAGTGAACTCAAGCCAATAGGGCTAATGTTTTGTGCCAGTTTGGTCTGAAGTTTGCTACGAAGTTGAAATACATCGTTGGCGCTAGAGTATGGTGTAGTTTTTTCTGCTGCTCTTACAACTTTTCCGTAATGCAAGATTTTTAACTGCTTAAGCTGCGAGGTTCCTATTATTTCTTCGGTTTTCCTTCAATTATTAGTTTCTTTTCAAATTTTCACAACTATAAACGTTTCAAAGATTGCTTGTTTTAATATTTTACGCTTTTTAAGATTCTTTTTATTCACTTTTTCACTGTTCTTATTGTTTTTTCCTTGTATATATATTCATCGCTCATTTTTGATCATTATTAAGTGCTAAAAATTCCTAAATTTTTTCAGTAGTTGATTTACGTCTGGTAGTGTGGTTGATTTCGTTGCTTTAAACTGTCTGCTGATATGTAAGTTTAATAAGATTACGCTTTTGTTGTAAAGTAGATATGCATCACTGATGATTCGTCTGCACAAATGTTATGTTTACTGGCGTTATTAAATCGATGTGCAATGGAACGTCCGCAAGTTCGCTACTCATGGCACGGAAGAAAGTTGTTGCCATACCGAAATAATTAAATGGTCAGCACGAAAAAGGAGTACGTTGTACCGAATTGTGAACAACTTCCGACTTGCAGTTATTTCCCTGAAAGTGAATTGTGGGGCTCTCTGTAAAAACTTGATCGGGAAGCCTAAAAGAAAGCAAAACGAAATAATATTAGGACAGTATAAGAGTACGGAAGAAGAAGCAAAACAGAAGCAGAGGTAGCAGTAAAAAGTGTTTTTTAAAGACGGGTCTCTGTGCGGCATAAAGCATTTAGATAATAGTCGGTTTGCAACTAAAAGGCATGGTCAGCAGGCAAATTTGCTTTTCCTGCGAATGCTTACAGTGTCAGGTTTTGTTTCTTAAAAACTCGGTCCACTTAAGGAGGTATGTGAGTTTAAAGTTTCGGTAATGTAAGTATATGTGCATAGTTTTGCCAGTTTTACTGTGCTGAAGGTATGAAATTTAAGTTGGATACTGGTTAAAGACGATCATTTTTGAGGAAGAAAATCGAACTTTTTGAATATTATTTAGTTAAAGTGAAAAAATGACATTCTAGAAATGTTTAAATATAAGCATTTGGACTTTTATTGCTGTAATCTGCTTGTTGCAAATTGA